TCTAAAGGACTGCCTTCTTCCATACAAGCCTGCCCGTCCTCTAAGATCAGGCCAGGAGGCTCTTCTGAAGGTGCCATCCCTGAAAGAGGTGAGGGGGATGGCATGGCGAAATAGGGCTTTCTCAGCTGTTGCCCCCTAACTCTGGAACACCCTCCCTTTAGAGATCCACCTGGCTCCAACACTTTTAGCTTTTCGGCGACAGGCAAAGACCTTTCTGTTTAGCCAGCATTTTAATTAAATAGTGTTTTTAGCTGGCTATATGAGCAGCAGGATTTATTAATATTAATGTTTTAATTACTATTTTTAATATAGGGTATTATAATATTGCCTATTTTAATGGTTCTAATGTTTTAAAAAGTTTTAATATTGTTGTACGCCGCTCAGAGACCACTGGTAATGGTACGGCTAAAAAAATCTTGTAAATTAAATAAATAAATAAATAAATAGTTGTATTTTGCTTTTGTAAGTTTATTTTGTCTCATTTCACCTTCATTTTACAATTTATATGTGCCTACGCAGAGGTAAGAGCTCAATAGTTCAACTGACAACTCAGATGCAAGTCTCACCTAGCTCCATGGAACACAGTCCTAGGTAAGTGTTAAACAAGCCCATCTGTTTCTGTTATGTGACAATAAACACTGTTTCATACAGCACTGACTAACTAGCATGTGTGACAAGGAATACATCTGTGACAAACCCAGACCTACTGGGATATGCCACAGTTTCACTAAGCTGCCACCAACCATTCCCTATAAGAAGTCACACAGACCAGGGATGGATTTTTAACAAATAAAGGAATCAGGTTTATTTACATAACACACAGGGAAAATAAAATGATCAAATGAATAAGATACAGTAACGTGGCTTAGTCTCAATCATACATACACACAGTTTGGTTCACACAGAACACTTAACTTGAAGCACAGACCCTGAACCTATCAGTTCTGGCTAACCATACAGACACCTGAACCTATCAGGTTGGTACTGACTGACACACAGTAGTACCCTGTCTGACACACAGACTCCCACTCAAGCTTCTTCTCTCAGCTCTTCTCCAGCTTCTCCTCCATCCCTGAAAGAGGTGAGGGGGATGGCATGGCGAAATAGGGCTTTCTCAGCTGTTGCCCCCTAACTTTGGAACACCCTCCCTTTAGAGATCCACCTGGCTCCAACACTTTTAGCTTTTCGGCGACAGGCAAAGACCTTTCTGTTTAGCCAGCATTTTAATTAAATAGTGTTTTTAGCTGGCTATATGAGCAGCAGGATTTATTAATATTAATGTTTTAATTACTATTTTTAATATAGGGTATTATAATATTGCCTATTTTAATGGTTCTAATGTTTTAAAAAGTTTTAATATTGTTGTACGCCGCTCAGAGACCACTGGTAATGGTACGGCTAAAAAAATCTTGTAAATTAAATAAATAAATAAATAAATAGTTGTATTTTGCTTTTGTAAGTTTATTTTGTCTCATTTCACCTTCATTTTACAATTTATATGTGCCTACGCAGAGGTAAGAGCTCAATAGTTCAACTGACAACTCAGATGCAAGTCTCACCTAGCTCCATGGAACACAGTCCTAGGTAAGTGTTAAACAAGCCCATCTGTTTCTGTTATGTGACAATAAACACTGTTTCATACAGCACTGACTAACTAGCATGTGTGACAAGGAATACATCAACTACAAAATTCTAGATAAAATGAAGAAAAGGGAGGATGACGTATTTTCTTTTTCAATGCAGTCTTACAAGCAAACATGTTTTGAAAAATACTATATACAGTGGTGCCCCACAGGACGATGATCCCGCTAAACGACGAACCCGCAGGACAATGACTTTTTGCGATCGCTATAGCGATTTGCAAAATAGTAATTTCAATGGGGGATTTTCACTTCACGACGATTAGGCCCGTGCTTCATGAACCATTTGCAAGACGACGAAAATGGCTGCCCTGTCTTTTCCGGACCCATGCTTCATAGGGCAGCCATTTTAACAGCTGATCGGTGCTCAGAAAATGGCTTACCCTATGGGCAATCTTCGCTGGATGACAAGGTAATTTCCCCATTGGAATGCATTAAATGGGTTTCAATGCATTCCAATGGGGAATTGTTTTTCGCATGATGATGATTTCACTTAACAGCGATTTCTGGGGAAAGGATTATCATCGTCATGCAGGGCACCACTTTACATGTTTCTGAATGAAAGCACATTAATAGGAAGTTGGGGTTTTTTTTGTTACATAATTCCAAATCCTTCTACTCACTGTTGATTTGACTACCCCAACCATTTAATCCTATGTCTTAGGCAACAATATTAATATTTTGCTGCTACTGTGCTTCCTTGAAGTCTTGTATAAACAAGAACCACCAAATGCTTTCTGCTAATTGGATGTACTAATGTTTTAGTCCGTTACTGTTGTCTGCTGCTTTTTTGAACTGTAGGCATGGCTGTGCACAGCAAATAAGCATTATTCAGTTGTTTCGACTTGTATTTAGGCATTTAGGTATTCTGGATTCCTCCTAGAAAGCACTATGAAATTGTACTGCACAGAACCAAGCTTGGAGAACGCTGAAGCTCCTGGCCCTCATTGCCAGTCAAAAGCAAAAGTCATGCTTGGTGAATAGGACTGGAAGCCAAGGTGCCTATTCTTACTGATCTATCCATGTCTTCTCTCTCTTGGCACCCACTGCAATGAATGCTTTCTTGTCAGGAAGCAAATTCCGGATATGCTGGCAAGAACCCAGGAAAGCAGCATGCAGCCCTGCTACAGATTTTGGGTGGCTGATTGTGCTAATGATTTTCTGGGCCTTTCAAAAAGCTAGTATTTTGAGAGGGAGCTGCAAAAAATGGCTTGATGACCGCATGATGTCCACTCTTACTATAACATAAAGCATTCACTGACAGCTCAAATATAATCTGAAGACAGTCTCCTGTCTTTCTTCACCCAGCTAATTCAAAAAGATGAACACCATTTGGCTTTCTTTCCTGAGTACCACAGGATAGCTGACAGCACCTGACCACTATAACATGGGAGGGATTAATCCAGCTCTGTCCAGCCTTGTGGCACAGTGGTTAAACTGCAGTACTGCAGCCAAAATTCTGCTCACAACCTGGGTTCAATCCTAGGTAACTGGCTCAAGGTTCACTCAGTCTTCCATCCTTCCAAGGTCGGTATACTGAGAACCCAGCTTGCTGGGGGTGGGTAGGGGTGGAATGTGTAGCCTGCATAATTAAATTGTAAATGGCCCAGAGAGTGCTTTACGCACTATGACGCAGTATATAAGCATCACACTTTCCTCTTTTTCCCCCCTAAAGGTACGGACATGTTGAAGGAGTCTTCACAGTTCCCATTTACCTTTCCAGGTTTGCTCACATGCAGTAATCAAATGTCCACTGTAGTGCAGAAGGACTCTGCCATGTAGACCAGTGGCTTCATTGGTCTCAGACAGAACTTGCCCATCTCCTACTGCCTAACTATTTGGTTGAAAATGCCAGGAATTGCACTCGGGTTGTTCTGCAGAGACAGTACAAGTTCTATCACCAAGATGGACAGGGGCAAGAGCTGCTCACTCAGAACTGGACAGCCATTTTGAGGCTCAAATACCTGGCCTCTGAATTATTAGCATCACCATGCTCTGACCAATTAAGCTAGATATTCCAAAGGAATATATGGCATACTAGTTAGCAATACTTAAGGTATTAAGAAGATATACCTAACTAGATCAGAGCACCCATATGGACATATACCTAGCTTGACAGAAACTGCTAGATATGTTAGTGTTCACAGTGGATCAGATATACAGTATGTAGATTCATTTTGCATGTAGCATATGTAAGGCCCATAGAGATAGAGAATCCAAAACACTGAAAGCAACAGACAGACAAGTACAGTATCTTACTCTGTAAACTGTTCCAAAGGGAACAGCTTCATTCTTATAGAAGCATTTAGAGAGCAAAGCTGGAAGATACATAGGTTTGACACTACCTCTACAGCAGTCCTCCCAGTACTGACAGACACAAAGGCAGGAATCCTATATCCTCATACTGTACACTAACTTGAGAATGAGGCCACTGAACACAATGGGATTTACCTCAGAATAAAGCAGGGACAATTCTTCCCTTTACATCTTTACTATTATTCTTTTTCTTTCTGCTAACCCCACAAAACAGTTGGAGACAAACCATAAAATGGTCCCAACTTTTTTCCCCTTTTACCTAGCCCATTGTGACTGGGATGTGGGATATACAGACCTTTACACCTGGGGACTGCAGTTCCCATCAGCCCCAGCCAAAGCAGTCAGTGACAAGGGATGATCAGAGATACAGTCCAACAACATCTGAAGGACCACGCATTCCCCACAAATAAACCAGAAAGCTTTTCTTTCAAATGTCTGCAGTTGTAAATGAATGCATTGAACAGAACACAACAGAAAGTTTTTTCTTTCCAGTTTCTGCATTTGCAAGTGAATGCAAACTGAACCATAATAATCAGATTTGTGAAATTCAGCTTTTCGTCTGATAGTCTCATTACTAAAAAAAAAAAAGTCCCTACCAATCGAATCCTAGAAGGGCCTACTCAGAGGGAGGTTTCAGCGAATTCCGGGGGCGTTACCCCTAAATAAGTGGGCATAGAGATCAAACCGACTCCTAGAACTAAGGCAGGAAGATTTGTTCCCCAGCTGCCATATGTCGGATCAAGCCGCTAGCCCCTCTCAGTTCATCTCCGCCTTGCCTTGCTCTCCCCCTCGATCTACGAGGCCACAGGCGGGCTCACTCTGCACACCCTGCCGGGATCTCGCCCCGCTCACCGGGCAACGCCATGCCGCCGCCGACTCCACCGAGCGCCCACGAAGTCCAGATCTCGGTCAGGCCACTTCCCCGAGGGCGACGCGCGTTCCCCGCCGGAAAAACTTTGGCCAGGCCGGGCCGTACTATGAGCCGGGACTGTGGGGGGGGGAGAGAAAGAAAAGGAAATGCAAACTCTTCCGTGCAGCCGACTTGGAAGCAACACAATCCACCCTGCTGTGTTTAGGGAAGGCCTGCGGGTCGATCTGGGCGCCCTTCGCGGATCCCAAAGCGAGCCTACGTGGAAACGCTTTCTCTTCATCGGCAGCCGTCCTCCCCTCCAGCACGGGTTGGTACTCCCCTTCCCGTGAGTCACTGAAGGAGGCTGGGCTGCCTGGTCGACCGCGTCTCAAACCGAGGAAAGGTCGCCTCGGCGGTGTTGAAAAAAAAAAGGCGTGCGAGACCCTCGGAGAGCCTTCGAGCGCCACTTCATGTCTGTTGATTCACAAATCATTCCCGCCAAGTCCCCGAAAGCCGACAGGGCAATCCTAAACGTCGGTAATCAGAAATGAGCCCCTCTGAATTCAACACGATTGCCAAGGGGCACTTACAGGGTTCCAGATGTAGATGGACTACTGTTCCCATCAGCCGTAGCCCGAATAGTCGGTGTTCCGAGTGAGGCCACCCTTAGTCCGACGCTACTTAGACAGCCACAGGTTCCTCGTACTAAGTGTGTACGATTGCAGCCTCAATGGCTTTCTCCTAGGACGATTGGGCAACATTTAAAATGCGCGTTAGATTATGTTTTAATAATCCCTATCGTTGTTGTGGACTGGAAGGAATATCACCGACCCTCTGGCGTTTGCTGTAATTGTCGTTTAGTCGTTAAGTCATGTCTGACTCTTCGTGACCCCATGGACCAGAGCACGCCAGGCCCTCCTGTCTTCCACTGCCTCCCAAAGTTTGGTCAAATTCATGATGGTAGCTTTGATGACGCTGTCCAACCATCTCATCTTCTGTCGTCCCCTTCTCCTCTTGCCTTCACACTTTCCCAACATCAGGATCTGTCTTTGTTATTACATGCCGTCAAATCGCCTTGCGACTTGCAGCGATCCTATGAATGAGAGATCTGCAAAACGTCCCGTCCTCAACAGCCTCGCTCAGCGCTTGTCAATTGAAATCCGTGGCTTCCTTTAGGGAGTCAATTCATCTCGTATTTGGTCTTCCTCTTTTCCTGCTCCCTTCAACCTTCCCAGCACTAGTATCTGGAGTTTAGGTGTTCCCATACTCGGAGATGAATATTGTCTTCCATAAGGCTTGTTGTTGTTTAGTCGTGTCTGACTCTTCGTGACCCCATGGACCAGAGCATGCCAGGCCCTCCTGTCTTCCACTGCCTCCCGGAGTTGGGTCAAATTCATGTTGGTCGCTTCGATGACACTCTCCAACCATCTCCATAAGTAGGTATCAATTCTGATTAGAGCAGGATTTACTTCCAGGTAAACATGCACACGACAGACCTGTTCATACCAAATTGTAATACCTACTACTGTATTTCTCTCTTTCTACCACTTCTTTCAGTCTCCCACCACACGAGTTCAAAGGAGGCAATGTTCAAATCATGTCAAGTCAAATTCATGTTGGTCGCTTCGATGACACTCTCCAAGCATCTCCATAAGACTAGTAGGTATCAATTCTGATTAGAGGAGGATTTACTTCCAAGTAAACATGCACACGACAGACCTGTTCATACCAAATTGTAATACCTACTACTGTATTTCTCTCTTTCTACCACTTCTTTCAGTCTCCCACCACACGAGTTCAAAGGAGGCAATGTTATTGCAACCTCTCCTCGCTTGCTGCTTCTGAGAAAATGCAGCCGCTCTAAGTGGGATAAAAACAGCAGTGGGTGATGCTATTCAGTCGGAAGACTTTGGGCAGAGCACAACGGACTGTACCACTAGTCGTAGGGGAGACCTGGTTAAACCGATTTAAGGACCGGGTGATATCAAGGCAGTGGCATATGGTCTAAGCAATTCTTCCTGATTATATTCATTAGTCCCTCGCCAGACGGCTCTTCATAGCTGTTGAGCGTGAAGATTAGAAGCCTGATATTTCTCCTTTGGCATTGCCACCCCCCGGATTGGAAGTGATGACACGGACTGTACCACTAGTTGTAGGGGAGACCTGGTTAAACCGATTTAAGGACCGGGTGATATCAAGGCAGTGGCATATGGTCTAAGCAATTCTTCCTGATTATATTCATTAGTCCCTCGCCAGACGGCTCTTCATAGCTGTTGAGCGTGAAGATTAGAAGCCTGATATTTCTCCTTTGGCATTGCCACCCCCCGGATTGGAAGTGATGACATCCAGTTCCCAACATGGAGGGATGTTTCCCTTGGTTTGCCGTATAGATGTCTAGGAAGTTTCTTTGTACAGCATATCTGTGTCTTGTCTCAGCGCGCACGGAGTAATCAGGCAGTGAAAAGGCTGCGTTCAGGCTCACATCATGAGCAACATCTACATCCAGGAACCGCCTACAAACGGCAAGGTGAGGGGAGAGCCTTGGAGAGGGAGCAGCCTTGTATCTCGAGGGTTAAATAAATTCGCAATACTTGGGTAACATTAAGGTTACTGTCGCCACAGTGAGTGGCTCTGTTGTGCTTTATTGGGGTGGGGGAGCACAACTTATTTTAGAACAGGCCAGCTGAACAGTCACAATTGGACTAAGGCAGCAATGTTGAGAGACCTTTGGGTAGAGTGGGCGGCATATAAGGTAGATAGATAGATAGATAGATAGATAGATAGATAGATAGATAGATAGATAGATAGATAGATAGATAGATAGATAAATAAATAAATGTTTATTTGGTGGGTGTATATCAGTTTGGATTGTGTAATTCAGTACAATGAATAAGCACAACTTATTTTAGAACATGCCAGCTGAACAGTCACAATTGGAAAGAACTAAGGCAGCAATGTTGTGTATTCCGGGGGAGTAAATCAGTTTGATTGTGTAATTCAGTACAATGAATGCCACCGTTTTCTGAAAGACAAATGCATCCTAAGGTGACAGTCCTCTGCATAGGTAGTGAACTCAAATATATGATAATAATCATGTACTGTCCACTTGGTTCTGACTTATGGTGACCTTTTTCAGGGTTTTCTAGGTAGAGAGTACTTAGAAGTGGTTTACTATTCCTTTCTTCTGGGGGAAACCAGGGACGATGCAGTTTGCCCACACAGGTTGGCATTGCGAACAAGAGGCCCAGTAAGGAATCAAACTCGCAACCTCTGGCTCTATGTAGACATTAAAGGCATACATATAAATTTCAGGCTTTTTCAAAGTGTCAGGATCAAGAAATTCAACTATAGGCATAAAAGGCATATATATAAATTTCAGGCTTTCTCAAAGTGTCAGGATCAAGAAATTCAACTACTGTATAGTATTGGTGAATTATAGCTATAATAAGCCTATCTATCTGAAGGGGTGCCAAAGGAGAGGGATGATACTCCACAGTTGAAGAGATAGCTTGGAAACCAATTCTAACTATATAGTGAATAAGTCATAATATACATTAAACTGATTTAATAACATCCCTCTTCTTAAAATACCTTTGGGAACTGTGTTTCAGGGGAGTACTCTAGACCTCTCTAGCACAAGATTCTAAGTACTTCACCAATTCTAGGACCCCTTTGGATAGAGATATGATTGTTAAAAGTCGTATTAACTGCATTGTACAGACATACCTTTAATGAAGTGGCTATGATTAGGGATAGATCATCAGCACAAGATTCTAAGTACTTCACCAAACTACAAATTCTAGGACCCCTATGATTGTTAAAAGTCGTATTAACTGCATTGTACAGACATACCTTTAATGAAGTGGCTATGATTAGGGATAGATCATCAAATGTGGCGCAAGTTTATGTTTTTTTTTAAAAAAACAGCCTTCTCCATCTTAATGACATCCAGATGTATTGAATTACAGCTACTGTCATCGCCAGCCAGCATGCCTAACATGTTGTAGGCCAGCTCAACTGGATAACACTAGATGAAGGGATACTGACTTATAGTAACACTGAACGTTCATCTAAAATTCGAAATGGATAATTTTCCAAAAGTTATAATGATGTTGTAAAAGGAAACAGCAATGCGCCTTGAGTCCATCCTCTTTTCCTTCCTTCCCAATTTCTGCCCTGGGGTATTCGGAAATGATTGTCTCAGTTTTAGATTAAACATAGCTTGCCATTTTGTCTCAACCTAAGTGGACTGGGGTTTATCTGTACTAAAACAATTCCGCTTCAAACCACAGTGTATGAAGCTGGCTTGACTCAATTTATCATCCTTAGGATTAACTATAATTTAATTTTGATTAATGCACTAAACTGGTGAAGCTAAAACTGAAGCAGAATGTTCCAGTCTTCTGATAACTGACAGGAAAAAAGGTAGAACACAGTGTGTGAGCCCAAGGCTTGATGAGGTTCATTCTCTAATTCTAAACCATTGGTTGAGTCCAAACAGACCTGTTGTGTTTAAATTTATATTATGAAAGAATTGATTTTTAGAAATTGAATTTTTATGTGGATAAACATAGTACCAGAAAATATTCTACAGTAGATCACTGCTTGAGCTTTATGGACTCATTAAGTTACAGGACACCAAAATAATTATGGTATTTCCATAAGGTGAAGAAGATGATGGTCAACTCCAACTGGTATTAATGTAAGGCTTATGTAATTTGTTACAGCTAATTGTGGCTAATGAGATGCTGGTGTGAGTTTTGGTTGTGTGCCTGGTCACATGCCTAGTTGCACAACTGAGATGTATTCTGGCACCTTATCAATTAGCCACATTTAGCTGCAGCAAATTACACAAACCTCACATTAACGTCAATAGGATTTGGGTCAATTTATTACACTTGGCTACTGCAAAACAAAGGCAGTGTATTACATCTGGTTATTACATAAAACCCAAGTGACATATTTTCCTTGAAATTTGCTTTATACTCCAGCACAGTGCAAGCCATGTTAGAAGTATGACGTGGTGTTGGACTGTGTGAATTCCTAAAGGAGATTTGGTTTGAGAAGGGAAATTTGCCATGGTAACATTGAATATATGGATGGATTTTTTTTCTCACAAACATTTTAACAATCAACTGAGGAGAAGGGAGGATCCATAAAAATAGCAATGTCTGCAGAATATAGAAAATATAGGCTTGGCTGTAGAATGAACAATTATCTCCCATCCCCTTTTTAAAATTGACTAATGTTCTTCTATAGGTTTTACTGAAGACCACAGCTGGCGATATTGACATTGAACTATGGTCAAAAGAAGCCCCCAAAGCATGTCGGAACTTTATCCAGCTCTGTTTGGAAGGTAATGATTAAAAACAATACTTTGTTATATTTTCTGTGTCATAAACACTGTATATATTTGATTATACATATCCATATCCATATCATCACATTTAAAAGGAATACATAGTTCTTAAAACATTTCTTTAGAAAGTTTGTCTAATCGCATTGACTCACTACTTGGAAATCCAAGGCCATAGTTGGAAATACAGAGGAAAACAATGTTTTAACTCCAGGTATTATCATCGGTATCACCTCTTGCCAGAGGCACCCAACTATTATTATTATTATTATTATTATTATTATTATTATTATTATTATTATTATTATTATTATTATTATTATTATTATTATTATTATTATTGTTGTTGTTGTTGTTGTTGTTGTTGTTGTTGTT